GCTGCGCGACAGTACCGCGCGGTGCTCGCGAGGGCACTTGATCTTCCTGTTGCAGCGGTGCGGCTCTCCGTTGCGTGGAGCGGTCGTTTTGATGTCACTCGCTTTAACCGCGTTCAGAAGGTGTGCGGTGTGTGCGTGGCGTCGGGGAACACACCACACATGGCGGAGTTACAGGAAAGAATAAGGCGTGTTGTTCGCGCCATCAATGAACGGCAGTCGGAGTCTTTTTTGGCTTCCCACCTTGTGCAGGCGTCGGGGGCCATACCAGAGGTCGAGTTTGCGGCCACCGAGCGCGACGCCATTGTCGCCGAGCGTGTGCACCGATGGCTCTGTGAAAACATCTTAAGGCCACACCTTGTGGTGGTGGTATACGGAGCAAACAACGACGCGAGGAACGGCTCCAACAGCAATGGGGTGCAAAAGAACGGGGATTTGGCAAGGCAGCGTGCCTTCATTGAGGAGAAGTGGCTGAAGGCATTTTACCACCGTCGCGTGGTGCCCCATGTGTTGTCCTTTTCGCGTCTTAAAGAACTTTTTCAGGATGCGGTGAGGAGGGGGGAGGTGGAGGGCGTTGCGCTCCTGCAGCCGAAATCCAATCCAGACGAGGAGGCAAGAGATGCAAAAAAAAGTCTGGAGGCGGAGGCGAAGAGTGGCCCCACGGCTTCTGCCACCGCAGCGCCCGCAGAAAAAAGCGGGACCCCCGTGAAGTTGTTGGCTTTGGATGATGAGGCGGCGTGGCACACTCTCCTTCGCAGTGCCGTGTTCCGCCGATGCGACAATCGCGTGGCGTTTCCGCTGCTCTTTATCCACGGTGACTCCGTGGGCGGGGTGGAGGAGATGCGGTACCTGCTGCACAACAGGGAGGCCCTTGACGCGGTGCTCCTGCATCCAAACGATGTGGCATTCAAGAAGAAGTTCATGAGCCGATTCCGCTCCTCCCATTCGCGTTTGCGCATGGCGGAGGAAATGTCCGTGTAAAAGGGTATATGCACACGACACATTGCATCTTCCGCTGTTTCTCTTTCGCTTTCTTACTCTCTCTTTGCACACGCAAACAGATGCGTCAAGGAGGGCGTGCGTGACTTTCTTTTGTGACTCTGAGTTTTGCCGCGCAAAGAACTCTTTCACTTGTTGCCCTTGTTGTTTTTGTTGTTACTGCACACATCTGTTCCATGCGGCTCTTTGGACGGCGGGGAGGGAATATGCCCGAGGGCTGGTGGGAGGTTTTTCTTTTCTTTTTTTTTTTCCTTATTTTTTTTTTTTCTTCATATATATGTATATCTAGTTTCTTCAGGGGACCGAGAGGCGCTTCCCACCACCCAACAGCAACCAAAAGGCGAGGGCGAGAGAAGAGGAAGAAGGCCTGAAGAAAAGTCAAAAGGGGAAACAGGGAGGCCGAGGGAAAGCGTGGAGAGGGGGTGAGGGGAGATAGGACTCATGGAAGAGCCAAAAAATGAACTGACGCTTGGGGTTCGTCTGGCGACACGTTACGTGCCGAACCAAGTCCTCCCCTCCACCCTCTCGTGGGGTTTCTTCATGGGCGTCGAGGATTTTATGCGACTGGAGAGGTGCTTTGCGGAGCGGAGCATCACACACGATGGAGACCCCGCCATCACGAAGGAGTGGCTTGTTCACTACATGATGCAGTTTCTTGGGGATCATCTCAATTTGCCCGCCAGTGGCGTAGGGACTGAGGAGGCGACTGTGTGTGGAGTGCAGCTGCTGGATGAGGAAAAGATGCAATTTTATAAGGAGGAAGTGTTGCGGTGGGCCAGCTCTTTCTCCATTGGGGTTTCTGTACATGACCCGCTATGGGATGCCTGTGAGGTAAGTAATGCGGAGCTAGCACGAGCAGAACACAGTATGAACAGCAGTACATATGCCAGTTCGTTCAATAAGGGGGCTTCAAGTAGCAATAAGAGTGGTGGCTATTCTGCTACTACCACCGCCAGTAGTCATGAGGGCGCCCCGCGAGGAGGGCGCTTTGGACGAACTCGGTCGGTCGTCCGCATGCTGTTGAGATACAATCGACCGGCCGGGCATGCACAGACTCAGAGGAAGGAACCAGCGCGACACGAGATTGTGCGATGGAGCGACTTGACAACAAATTTAGTGAGGGACTATGAGCGCTTTCATCAAGTGGACGAGAAGGAGTTGTCCTTCACCCGAGTACGAACGGAATTAACATCTGGAAATTCCTCACTTCTCCGCTCTGTGGCCGGTAAAGATGGTCTTGATGCGGATTGGTCAAGGGTGACGGAGGGCCGAGGGGACACGGAAACGGATGTGTTCACTGGAAGTGAGTTGCATGCGCAGTCTGCTGATCACATATTGGTGTCCACCGTGACGGGCTGCGTCGTCACTGCCAGCAAAGACGGTGTTGTGAAACTGTGGAATGGGAAAACAGGCATATTTATGCGTAATCTCTATAATGCAGGAAACGCATGGGTGATTGGGATGTTTTTGCTGCACGATGAGGACTATATTCTTATCGCGACGACAAAAAGTCAATTGACAGTGCTGGACTTCCCAGAGGGCAACGTTCTCCAGAAGTATGTTGGATGCATCTCACTGCAGACGGCACTCTATGAGGTTGTGCAGTTGTCCGCCAACAACATTCAGCGCTATGGGATGAAGCCCGGTGAGTGCGGTAGACATCGTGTGGAGTTGCGCAAGGATGAAACCGCGGAGCACTATCACGCCCGTCGTCGTGAGTCACAAAATTGTGTCTTTTCAAAAGTTCTTCCTGCAAAGCCTGTGGTGGGTTTTGACGCACCGACGGCGTCTTGGTTTGACAAGTATTCTGGTATTTTTTTTTTTGGTACAGCAACCGGCGCCGTTGGGGCCTTTGATATTTCCGCGGATGTGCGCCCGAGCGCACTGCTGGCCGGGGCGAACAGCAAACCTGTGTGCCTGCTCTTCCTGACGGAGGTCCATGCGGGGGCGGTGGTGGGCGTATTCTACACCTCCTACGTCACATCCGTCTTTACGGCGGGAGCAGATGGTTGTATTTACCGCACCCCGCTCGGTCCGACAGGAAAGCCTTCCGGGGAGTCACGACTTGTCGCCCAGCAGGCAAGAGCCATCCGCTCGATGCAGTGGTGGCCGCCGTCCAAGTTTTACGTCACGATTCACGTGGACCGTCGTGTCGTCTTGTGGGTGATTGGGCGTTACGGCGATCCTCTGCACCAGTTTCCATCCGAGACGCAGGAGGTGGTCAGTGCGGCGCTGCACCCACGGCGACAGCGGCTTGCAGTGCTGCTTTCCGATAAAACCATCAAGGTGTACGAGACCCATGGCAATAAGTCACTTGCCACCATTGCCCAGCCAACACCAGACTCGAACTTCACTGCGACCGATGCAACGCGGCAGATGATGGAACGTTCTGCCGTTGATGAAGACGGTGTTGTGGCGTGGCATCCATATAATTCTTCTATCATTTGTTGTCTCCGGGCGACAGTCGTTTACGAACCGTCAAAAAATCAGCTTCAGACAGAGTCTGTTGGCGAGACAGAGATTAATTTCCCTGAGGACGAGCGCGGGGCATTCAGCAATAGAGATGTCCGTGACATTGCGGAGGACGTCAAACCGAAGCCAAGGAAGCTGAGCGCAGTGGGTGTTGTAGAATCACGACGTGTGGAGTCTCACCGCAGCGGTGTCGTGGCAATGGCTGTGCAAAGGCAATCATTGCATTTACACACATTTGATGAGGAAGGTTGGCGGATATGGGACTTAGATACAGGTGCAATTATTCAGCAAGTGAACGTTCCCCGGGTAGCGCGTATGGAACATATGCCTTTGAAAAGAGCCACCGTTGCGTCCTGCTCTTGGACGACGAGCCTACAAGTACGGCTAGTGACAGGAGGTCAGGATGCATCAATGCTGACATGGGATCCGGTTACCTGTCTCCCTCTCGCGGCAGAGATGCTGGTTCATGACGTTTCAGAGCAATTGGACTCGGATGTAAACTTGATGTCGCATCGAAATAAATTGATTGCGTGGAGTGCACGTTTATGCCGTGTCACAACGTTCAATACGGGCTCGATCCTCCCTAGTGGAATTGAGGAGAGTAAATCCGTTCTCCTGCGTGTGCCATCCCTGGCCTCCATAACCGCTTGCTGTGTCGTGCGGGATGCGTACCTTTGTGTGGGCACAGGTGACGCAAGGATATTTTTCTTCAGCCTTCGGGGTGGGGCGCCTACCCACGACTGTGTCCTGCGAGAAAAGACGGAGGAGGGAAAAGGCGCTGTTGTACATCTCATCTTCTTGAATGAACAAAACCAAAACCTCCTCCTTGTCATTCTTGACATTGGCATTCTTTTTGTGTACTCCTATGTTAAGCAGGCTGTCGTGTACCGCATTTGCCTGGGGCGGCGCTTTGAATGTCGTATCCGCAAAGCGTTATACATACCAGAGGATGGTACGGTTGTGTATGGCGACTCGTTGGGTCGCATTCGTGTCGTTGACGTGCGAGGCTGCACATCCCTCTCGGTAGAATTCCGCCAGGCATTTATCCTGAAGTCAACCTTTCAGGGTGCCACGGACGAGATCACATCGTTGGAGAGTTTCTACAGCTCGGGACGGCGTTATCTGTTGGTGGGATCATTGGACCGAATGGCACGTCTTTTTTACTTTGACGACACAGACTGGTTGCATGCGCCGTTTTCCAACGTGGCTATGCAGCAAAATTCTATGGCTGCTGTGAAGTTTGTTGGCGCTTTTGGCCGCGATACATGGAGGCTCTCGGATCCAACGACATTCAGCGAAGAACCGCCCACGGCATTGCGCGTGCCGGCGAACAACACCGCAGAGGAAGAAATGCTGCTGGAGAACATCCTTCACCCGGAAACGAGACCCGAGAGTGTGCGGAGCCTCATGGACTCTTTGCTGGATGACGACTTTAGTGTGTCCCGCGCGCGGTCGCGTAGAGGCACAAAGGCCATAACCCCTCTCTCTGCGTCGGGATCGCCAAGGGGGATGCTCACCCGTCCCTTTTTCCTCACGGACATTTCCCACCCGCAGGAGGAGGTCACTCAAGTGCCGTCGTTATCTTTTTTATCCTCCACGGAGAGCGCAAGGCAGCCTCCGATGGCACAAGCCACGCAAAGCACGCATGAGCAGCAGGGCCCATCGATACCCTCCGGCGATGAAGAGGGTGGCGCTCCTTCCACTTCACAGGGTATAGACCGCGTATCGTCGATGGTGCCAGCCACTGGGCGACGCCCGCAATTCCGCCCACGGCCGGGTGAAAAGTTCTCCAACAGATGCTCCGTATCACTCTTCACGGAACCACGTCTGCAGTTGCCGTCCCTTGATCGACAGACCGAAGGCCCAAGTGAGGGGACCAATCCTTATCAAGGCTTCCTGGCAGGCTCACTGTCGCCGCCAAAGAAGAGGATGGCATTGTTGACTATGACACGACGACTAGAGGCCGTGTTGCCTAGGAGGTTTGCCAACGGCGAGTTCTTCAAAAACGCCAACGAGCTGCTTATGGCCGACGCACAGTTAGGCCTTCGGCGGACCAAATCGGGGCGAACTCGGCAGGAAAGAGTTGATCTACAGCTGGCACTTGAGAACCGACGCCAACTGGCGGAGAGGGTGGAGGAGTACAAAAAAAAGCAGGAGAAAAGACGCTGCGACAAGAGGAACACGCTGATGCCCTTTGCAGCTCGGCATGAACTCATTCCTGTTGTTTTCCCGCAGCCGAGCGTTCTTTCAAATGAAGGCAATTTTAGCTTTGCTTGGATGCTCAATGCGTCTTCAATGGGGTTACCGCAGAAGCCATTTGCGCATGCAAGTAACGCAATGTAAAGGACTTCCTTACCAATGTGGGGGAGGAGTCAGCAAAAAAGGGAAGAAGAAGAAAGGAAGAAGGAAAGAAGAGGGGAACGGAAGTGAAACACAACGATGTACATTCACACTCACGCTTGTTGCAAGAGATGCGTATAATACTCTTTTTGACGATGTTTTGCTTTTGCTTCTGCCATCTTGATGATGGCGATGAAATGGTGCCGATCATCTTTCCCGAGGTTGCGCAGGATGAGTGAAAAAAAGGGGGTTTGGAGCGGTTGGAGAGTTGTTTTTTTCTGAGCTCATCCCTTTTTTTTGCCTCGCCCTACGACACCTTTCTCATCGCACATGTTAACCAGCCGTTTGCTTCTTTTCTTTTCTTTTCTTTTTTATTTTTTCCTTCATCTATCACTCGCACAGTTTCTTACTCATTTCTGCTTTTCTTTTTCTCCCTCACACCAGAGTCTGCGGTGGTAGGGAGGGGGAGGGCGGAGCGTAGCCGACGTGTAAACATTTTTATTTTTTACTTATTATTATTATTTTTTTATTGGTTTACTGAGAGTCGAGGGACGTCATCTGACGCGTCACGGGGACTGGAAAATGGCGTACCTTGTGCGGAAGACCGACGTCTCCTCATCTCCCCTTGGTTTTGCGTCCCACAAGAGAGGAGTCCCCGACAACGACGATGGTCTCTACCGTGAGGCTGTGAACTTCATCGACGTGGAGCGGCTTCTTCTTGCCGACGCACCAGCCACCGGTTTCAAACTCATCGCGCAGGATGAAGACTGCGGAATCTCGCTGCACAGCCGGCCTGTTGAAGATTGTCCGATGCACCTTATGCGTGCGGAGGTGGAGCTGCCATGCCGACCAGCTGAAGTATTGGCGTACCTCAACGTATCAACACGGCGAAGGTGGGATGATTATATCGCGGAGTTGCGTTCTGTGCGAATTCTTCCACGGCCGGGCGGGGTGTTGGGTGACAGTAACGTTGTAGATGTAGACAGTGTTGACGAACTGCAGTTGCGACCTGGGCAGAGACGTGTCGCGTTGTATTATATGGCAATACACACACCCATCCTTCTTGTGCAGAACAGAGACTTTGAGATGGTGGTGGCGGAGGAGGTGCGCCGCGATGGAACGGTGTGGGTGAAGGCGTTTTCCACGCCACTTGGATACGTGGAGCCTCTTGATCCCCGTCAGTCCAAATATGTGCGTGCGCTCATGTTGTTCTCAGGCATTCTGGCGCGGCCGGTCATCAATGCTAAGGGCAACATGGAGTCCCATGTGAGTTATGTCGCCCTTGTGCATCCGATGGGTCTTGTCCCCTCTGTCCTGGTCAATGTTGTGCTGGGTGCGCAGCTGAATGCCCTGAAAAGGCTGCAGCGCTTCATTCAGCAGCATCCGCTTTCCACACTTGCCACGGAGATGGCAGGAAAAGAGTCTGAGCATCGTAGTGGGGCTGACTGTTCTGGGAAGGCAGTGATTGCCGATAGGGTGAAGCAGGCGGCTGGATCACAGAGCACCGATCAGTCAGCGGCCAACGTTGCGGTGAGTAAAAAGGGAAAAAACCGCAACGACGGTGGCAACATGAAAAACAACGAGGCGGCACGGGGCGGAATAAATCATCAGATACGACGGCAATTTGTGTCATTGAGGGACCGTGTGATGGGTTTTATGCGGTCCAAATTGTAGCTGGCTGAAAATAAAGATAGAGCGAGAGAAAGAGAGAGAGTGTGTGTGTGCGTGTGTTTCTGTCCATGTATGTGTGGGCGAAGGAACAAAAAATAGATGAGATGCGGTGCTTTGTGAAGATGTTGAAGGGTGTGCGCTTTTTTTGGTTTACATCTTCTTCTTCCTTTTTTTTCTTTTTTTTTTTTTTTCAAATGATTTATTTGTGCGTCTTTTTTTTTTTTTTTTTTAAATGTCTCCCTTTCTTTTCATGCCGCCGCCTCTTCCTCCGACGGGAGAAGAGAACGGGAAGTGGGAGGGAATTCACATTAGAACGAGGGGCGGGGAAAAGAAAGAAAAGACTCGAGGTGCCTCTCTTTCCTTTGTAATTGCTTTCAGGCAAACACGAAATGCTGACTTCTTTCTCTTGGGTACCGAAGGGTGCAATGAGGCCTGTTCCAATCCACTCCACGGAGAATTTGGAGACGGTGCGGGCAAAACTGCGGCGGCAGAACCCCGGATGCGCGGTGGAAGAGCCAGCAGGAATGGCGAGCGAAACTGGGCCGCCAGTGCAGGGTGAATTCTGCAGCAGTGATGACGAGAGTGGCGACGGTGTTGACAATATGCAGTTTGGCGGGGGTGTCGACACCGTTTTGGAGCAGGTGGAGTCGGACGATGAGGATGAAGTCAACGACACGACCTTCAAAGAGACAGACATTGTCTTTGTCACCGCCTCTGCGGAGGCTTCACAACCACGACTGGAGCTCTACGTTTATGATGAGCCAGAGGACACAATGTACGTTCACCATGACATGGAGATTGCCGCGTTTCCCTTGAGTACGACGTGGCTTACAGACGGCACAATGTCTCTTTGCGCCGTTGGTACAATGCGTCCGTTTGTGGAAGTCTGGAGTCTTGACGTCATTGATGCGGTGGAGCCGGTCTGCCTCCTGGGAGGCTGCGTCCATTGGGAGGATAACTACAGGAAAAACATCAAGACCCGCATGCTGAAGGAGGAATCGCACAAGGATGCGGTAATCAGCGTCCGATGGAACACATGTGCGCAACACATACTAGCCTCTGGTAGCGCGGACAGCAGCATTAAGTTGTGGGACCTCAATACGTCCACTTGTGCCGGAACGTACGCGGAGCCAGACAAAGTGCAGAGCCTTGACTGGCATCGCGAGGAGGCGAACCTTTTGCTTTCGGGTGGTTTTGACGCGACGGCGGTGCTGCGCGACTGTCGCTCGCCCAACCAGGCGGCACTAAGATTTGCCACGAATGGGGTTGTTGAACATGTGGAGTTTGCCCCGCATGGCGGCAGAATTATTTACGCATCCACGAGCAATGGTGGATGGATGGCGTTTGAGGCGCGCATGAATGCACAGCCCTTGTGGCAGCTGCAGGTACACGAGGCCGATGCCACGTTTGCTGCATCGCCGCACATTGCCGAATTGCTTGCTGTGGGAGGCAAGGATGGCAACATTAGTCTCTGGGATGCACGTGACGCGTCTCGGCCACCAACTCAGATCGTCTCACGTTCGTATCGCACAGGAGCAGTTCTGTCGCTGGCTTTTCACCCAAACTCACCACATATTCTTGGTGCCTGCGGTAGCCGTGGTGAGCCGCTTGTTTACACCATTAACACTGATATTCGCGACGTCTTTCTTTCGCAATAATCGTCAATGCGAATTCTTTGTTTAACTGTTAAATGTGCTCTGATTAAAACCCTAAAACGGAAGAAAAACAAAGTAAGGAGGGCAGGCAAAAAAAAAGAAAAGAAAAGAAAAGAAAGAAGAAACCAACGATAAATTACCCTTGGCAAGGCCATTTGTTTTTTAGCAGCCACGCCTATTCCCTATACGCATACATACATCTGTGCATCCGCACAGTCAACAACGCTGCAGAGGCTGGGTCTGTCTGCTTGTGTGACGCATAAGGGCCTTTATTTCCCGCGGCGCAAACACGCTTTGATGACCAATAAGACTTTTTCTTCAATACATGAAGAGAGGCACACTTGCGTGTGGGTGCCGGTGGGGAGGGAGTTATTGCACCTTTTTTTAAATTTTTGCAAATATTTTTTTTCCTGCTCTTCCACGTGCAGTTAAGTTGCACGAGCACGCACAAAAGCACAAACAGACGCACACACAAGCACACATACAGCTGAACCAGGGGAAGGAAAATGAGAATCTTCAAGGATATTCTGACAAACGCCGAGGTTGTCTGCGACAATGACAGGCCCATGGATGTTGAGGGCGAAATTGTGTACGTTGTGAAGGGCAGCTACATTGAGGTGGGCGGCGAGGACTACGGCATCGCGGCGAATGTGGACGAGGACGCCGGCGAGGGCGCGAAGGGCGAAGTCGATGACAGCAGGCAGCGCGTTGTGGATGTGGTGCACAACAACCGCTACACCGAGACCAGCTACGACAAGAACTCGTACATGGCGCACATCCGCGGCTACATGAAGCAGCTCCTGGAGAGGATTGAGGACGAGGAGGAGAAGAAGAAGTTCCAGGCGAATGCCGCGGCATTTGTGAAGAAGGTGATCAAGGAGATTGACGAGTACCAGTTTTTCATCCCCGAGGGCAACGAGGAGGACCCCGACAACGGCATGATTGTGCTCTGCAAGTGGGACGGCGAGGTGCCGTACTTCTACTACTGGAAGGACGGCGTCAAGGGGGAGCGTGTGTAAGCAGGGAATAAAACGTCAGTGGGACGAGCCAATAAATTAAGTAGACCTGCCCTATGTTTTCTTTTTTTTTTTTTTTAATTTTATTTTAAGCATTAGCTGACGCTGTTGGGTGTGCGTCGGAGGTAAAGGAAGCCGTTTCCCCTCTTTTTTGCCGTGAGTATAATGGGCGAAGAAAG